GCAATTCCTTATAAAAGATCATATCCAAATTCACACCTCTAGATACCCCCTCTATTGCGTGTCCAGGAATCCCCCAACTTGGAATTTTATAATTCAACCTATAATAATACTTCTTCCAGACACGCAATAAAGCAATTCTTAAAATATGAGATTTAAAAACCTGATCTACTTTTTTATTATAAATTAAATACGCATGCCATCCATATAGTAAATCCCATTCCTCAAGAGAAAGTATATTTTTATTTGTTAAGTTAAGCCAATCACTAATCAAAGTTAACACCACCGCATCGTAATACAATTTTAAATTAGGTGCCTTAAGTCCTCCTCTTTCCTGTGCATCTTGTATAATCTTAAACTTAACTCTTGGTTTTTTTCCCTGCCCAAATAAATTTATTAATGCTCTTCTGCCATTCATCTAAATTAGCATCTTTTTTTAAAATAGGTATCATTTGAAACAAAAAAAGAAATTTTGGTAGAACATTCATTTTAATCGCTGAAATTCTCCCCAACAAAGATAATTGTAATTTTTCCCAATCGTTTAAGTCCTTTTGCACTTTTGCCCATAATGTCTCATAATTATTCTTACACAATTTTACATTAGAGGCTGTGATATATACTCCCAAATATTTAACCTTTTTCACTATTTCAAAACCTGTTAACCAATATTTCCTTTTCCTTCATAGTCATATTTTTTGATAATATTTTAGTCTTATTATTATTTACTTTAAAACCAGAAACTTTCCCATATTGGGTTATAATTTCTACTAAATCTATAACTGAATAAATCGGTTGAGATAAAGTCACAACCAAGTCATCTGCAAAAGCTCTCAATCTATAATCATTTTTATTTATTTTTATTCCCTTTATTTTAGTTGATTTATGAATTTTAATTAATAAAATTTCCATTGTTAAAACAAACAACAACGGAGATAATGGATACCCCTGTCCTGTACCCTTTTCAATTTTAAATACCTCTGTTAACCCCCCCCCATTAACTATGATTTGAACCAATTGTTGTTGATATATAGCCTTGAGAGCATGTAAAAACTTATCCTCAAAACTCATTTTCTCTGCAACTTTCAAAAAAAATTGCCAGTTTAACATGGCAGTTCAGCATCTATAAAAATCAAAGCTGCAGGAATTTGATTATTCTTATCCAAATATTCAATTAGATTAACAATTTGTCTTACATTATATTTCATATATCTTCCAGTTATAAATCCAGATTGATCACTATGAATCACTTGTTTCAAAACATTTGTTAATCTATTTGCCAATATTTTCATAAAAATCTTATAATCTGCATTCAAAAGAGATATAGATCTATAATTCTTAGGCTGAGCAGGATCTTGAGCCTCCTTTGGAATCAACGATATAAAAGCTCTTCTCCAAGATGGAGGCACTTCTGCTCCCAACAGAATGCTATTAAAGAGTTCCTTTAATGGTTCTATCATTTCTTCAAATAAGATTTTATAATACCTTGCTGTTAGTCCATCTGTACCAAGAGCTTTACCAATCTTCAATTGTTTAATAGCAAAAATAATTTCTTCAGAAGTAATTGAACCATTCATCTCATTTCTTTGGTCATCTGAAAGTCTAGGAAAATTTGCAAATTGCAAATACTTATCTATATCTGAAACTTGTATATTTTCACTAGCATATAGCTTTGTATAAAAATCTAAAAAACTCTTTTTAATCAGGTTTGATTGATAAACCTCTTTACCTTTATAAACTATTTTATCTATAACCCTTGATTTCTGTTTCTTCCGTAACTGATAAGCCAGCCACCTACCAGGTTTATTTGCGTTACAAAATGTATTATGTTTCATATAACTTAAATTAATTGCAACCTGATCAGCCATTAACATATTAAATTGCTCCTTCAACATATTTATAGAAACTTTTAAACTATTATCCAGTGGGTTCAAAATATAAGCCCTCTCTTTCATTTTAATCTCTTCTTCCAACTCTTCATGTTTTTTTGTCTGTTTGAGTAGACATCTTTTTTGCACTGGTTGGATATAGTTGAAATCTTCAGGCTGTTTTGTTTAAGTATTTACAAAGTATCTACTGGTAAAAGGGATAGGGCCTACCTTGTTAATAAAATGGCTGACACAATGAGCATAGTTAATCACCTAACAACATTTATATCAGAAAAACTGGTGTAGTTGCTTTGTACAGCTTCTTTTATTTCCCACCAAATGTTTTATATCATCCTAGCATGTTATATCACTTTTGTTTTTTAGGCATCTAGATAGATTCACAACCAAAGTATCAGATACACCATCCAATTTTTTATTTTCAAAAAAAGAAAATCCCTACAACAGGTAAGGGATTCTTAGGAACTCTTGAAAATAATAATAATAATAATAATAATAATAATAATAATAATAATAATAATAATAATAATAATAATAATAATAATAATAATAATAATAGTTGGAAGGGACCTTGGAGGTCATCTAGTCCAACCCTCTGCTCAGGCAGGAAACCCTATACCATTTCTCACTTAGAGGTTGGCACTTTTCTCTAGAGTATGTCAGCCTCCTACCTAATTTTTTAAAAAATATAATTTAGGGTCCTCAGCTGGAATGAACTCTGTTGTTTTTCAGATAGGAGCTGTGACCAAAATCCATCAATGTTTGTCTCTAGTTAAAAAGCCAAATCCTCCCAAATTGTGAAAGATGCGTGCTAATAAAAAAAAATCCTTTTAACTCAAAGTTGCCAACAGGAAATACAGATTTGGGTTTTCCCAAAATCACCACCATATTAAAAGATATATGGTACTATAGATATTGGAGAAATATATACTTTAAAAAGTCTGCCTAGGATAATTTTACATCAAAAATGAAGTCATAATAGAAATTTGATGTAAGAGGTTTGTCAGAGACTTTATCTTGAAAAGCACATATATTGGGAAAATTTCAGTTAAATTAAAAAAAATGACATTTTTATGAATTATTCCCTTTTAAAAATCCTTTCAAATCTTATCTTACTTACATGACAAAGAAAATGAGATGGATGTATTTCCATCTATGCAACCATGAATAGAGAATGAGGAAATCTGAAAGAAGAGAAGTGGGCTAATGAAACTTGGCAAAAAAGACAGAGGAATGAAAATTGAGATAAAATATGGCTTAAGATGCTGGACTTGTTGGCTGGAAGGTCAGCAGCCCAGGTTCAAGATCTGAGCTGCACACAATGAGGTGAGATCCCATCCTCGCCCCAGCTCCTACCCATCTAGCAGTTCGAAAGCATTCAAATGCAAGTAAATAGGTACCACTTCAGTGGGAAGGTAACAGTGTTTCATGATATCATGCTGGCTAAATGTCCATGGAAATGTCTTCGGACAATGCTGGCTCAATGGCCTTGAAACGGAGATGAGCACTGTCCCCTGTATTCAGCAACAACTAGTGGAGTAAATCCTCAAGGACTCCTTTTAGGTTTATGGCTGAGGATCAGGAGGAGTTAATATAGCATTCTGAAAGATTAGTGGGAAGACTAATCCCAAGATAAATGAATGCAATAAAGCAGTGGTGGCAAACCTATGGCACGGGTGCCAGAGGCGGCACTCGGAGCCCTCTCTGTGAGCACACATGCCATTGCCCCAGCCTCCCCTCCGCCCATGACTCCCTCCTCATCAGCAGCCTCCCTGGAGGAAAGTCGCTCCCAAGGACATGGCAGCCAGGCAGCGTAGACAAGGCTCTGCCCTCACGTCCCAACGTGCACAGTTGATGCTGCGGGCCATGGCCACCATGGCACTGCTGGGCTGCTGGGCTGCCTGGGTGATCTGCAGCAGGCCCTGGAGGCGATCAGTGGCCCTGCGGGCAGGCAGGGTGGGGCGGAGCGAGGGCAGGGCAGGGGGTGGGGCAGGGGCAGGGCCAGTTTTTGGGCACTTGGTCTCTAAAAGGTTTGCCATCACTGTAATAGAGCAATAAAGGTAGTGGCATGAAAAGCAGGAACTTTAGAATAGAATAAGAGAAACAACAGAAAACGGACCAAATCAAAACTTTAATTGGATCTGAGCAATATGACAGAATGTATAGAAGAACAGAGGATATGAGCTATGGAACTTTGTAAGAGACAAGTCAAAGAGATTGTTCCCTTTATCAAAATATTCAGTGTCAGGAGTTAAAAAGGGCCACTGAGCAGCCAAATGGAAGATCTGCTCTATCTATATGACAATTCTACTCAAAAAGTTTTGTCAGCTTTGTGGACCAATCAGAATTGATGAGTAAGTATGAAATCTGTAGCAGGGTCTGGAAATTATCACCCAGTCTGGGAGAAAAAGAAATCTCTGTTCTCCGTAAATAAGAAGTGTAAATCAAACAACTCATTATTTAAAGCAGTCCAGATTTTAAGAGGTAGACTATTCTAGTTTCAGTCAGGGGAGAAAAACTATTTTGAAGCAACTCATTGAATAAGATGAATCACCTTTTTCTTTTAACAAATTAAAGGCAACTTACCAAAGGAGTCAATTTTACAATCTAAATATATTTTGCAGTCCAAATATAGACTCATTAGCTTTGTGAGTTTTCAGGCAAAGTAAAACATATTACAGGCAATATTAATTAGTACTAGGACCCCAAAATTATCAAATAAAAGTGGAAATGGAAACAATACCTTTTACAGTACCCCCTTTAAAAGTAAAAGTTCATATTATAATATTGGAAAAAACAATAATAAACCCTCTAAGCACCAGTGAAAAATGATCTCATAGCACTTTTGTGCATCAGTGTACCTCTTATTGTCTTCAATGTGTACACAAATTTTGAAAATCCCATTAACATATAGGCATTTCTTTAATATAAGCTGGCAATCCATTGAGGGTCTCAACTGCATATGTGTCCCTCTTATCCAACTTTTATAGCCTTCTTCTACTCTCTGGGGAGCCCAGGAATGCTTCACAAGAATTTGGCAGTGATTTTTGATACTGCCACTTTGTCATGATTACAAAAAAAAATAAGGTAGCTCAATTTTACTCTTATACACTCACTAACCTCCATGTGCTTCATTTGATATTATGTTTGTTTGTCCCTCTGCCCAGGAGCTTTTCTTCCTTTTCCCTCACTCAGTGTTCAGTTGATTTTGGTAGAAGAGGATCTTTTAGGACACCAGGACTATAGGGAGAGAGAGAGAGAGAGAGACATAAGAGGGCAAAATCTGAAGAACCAAATGAAAATAAGGCATATCCTTTAAATATTTATTAAGAGGAATTATAGAAAAATGAAATGGTCTATCCTTGAAAAGTGTGTGTTTAGGTGATTGGATCTCTGAGCAGAAACACCTCTATGAGAAAAATCAGTCCATTTGTAGTTTTAGATCCTAACAGGAGAAGGCAATAATAAGGCTTTTACTGTCATTACAACATGGTGTGTAGCATCCTGAAGAAAACATACTAGTGAGGATAGAATCAGTGTGTCATTTATATGCATATTGCCAGAAACTTTATTAAATTGACCAAGCAATAGCTAATTCCACTCCTTAGACACAACCTGTTCATTTGATAGCTAGATTGGTCCTACTCTGATGCATCTGGCCTTTATTTAAGTGCCTGTGAAATGTTCTCATTCTGAATGGATGTGCCACAGAATTCACAGCTCTTTATAATTAAGAAGAGATTGTTTTGAATGAGGTCAGTACTTAGTACAACTCTATCCCTTCATTGAAATAATCTCAGTTTGGGTTCCATTTCTTTATATATGTAAAACAAAGCAGAACTCAAAGACTCTTCTCAAATTAGGCATTTGTCCATGTATCTAAAAGTGATTCTAAATAAATATGAAGAAACCATGACTGTGAGAAGAGGGAAATTTGTAGATCACAAAATAACTACCTGATCCACTTTCATTGGTCCTACAGTTTTATGTGCCAGATTTTTAAAAAAGAAAATTTGAAGCATCTACCAGTTTTAGTGGTTTACCCTATTCCCAACTAGTTCTGCATGAAAAATTAAACATGGCTCAAAAGTCACATAACACTTTTCAGAAAAGAATGCAAATGCAACTAATATTTTTCATATATTTTCAGAGAAAAGGAAACAGGTGCCATCAGGAAGTAACATGAGAAACGAATCTGTAAGAAAAAAGTTGATGTGATAGCATGTTCACAGTTATTTGGGACATAGATATCTGGGGGGGGGGAATTGCCAAAATTGGGTGCAGAAGGAAGATGAAAATCAGAAAGTATTGCAGGCTGATAAATGAGAAAATGGAGGAGATACCAGTGGAGCTCCCTTACCTGGAGAGACTGTGGAGTCAGGGAGCTCTGAATTCTGCAGGAGAACCTCTCTGATTCTCACATTATGGAGAGAGAAAAAGAGAGAGAGAGAAAGAAAAGGGGGAGGGAGGAGGAGAGAGAGAGAAAGAAAGAGATGGGTTAAAACCAGCTAAAAGGAAAAGCAGCTTTTGGCTTTGACTATCTTGTTAAGGACTTTGTAAGGATCAAACAGTCAAACCATGAACTCTGAGTACATTTCTAGTCACCTCAGAACAATAGGTTTAAGTGCTGTCCCTACCTGAAGAAATTTTGGTGTGATTTGAGAGGCTTGTGTATGAGTTTTCTTTGTCTCTCATGTGTGCATATATTGTACAGAGAATGTCAGACCCCCCATGGGAATCATGCCACAGAAATCCTTTCGTGTCATTCCTACAAACCTAGATTCTGAATGTATCAATTTAGCAATGAGCACAAGGACAGTTGGCTGATGCTTCGATTTTTCTCCCTCATTCCAGACATCCTAGATCTGAGCCCAAATAGTGAGAACAAAAATCTTTCCACTAATAATAATTACTACGTGGGTCATATTTTCCTTTGTAACTGAACAAGATGCAGATACTTCTTTGCAGCTGTATGTATGCAAGGCAGCTGAGAGACCTTGTTTAATAAAAAGCCCGTGTAGATGGATAGGTATGTTCCATTTCCTTGATGCTCCTTCGTAAAAGTATATACTTTGCTGGAGTTGTCAGCAAGTTTCCTATCTGCTCTGATCTAGGAATGCTAACTGCAGGCACAGCAAGGCTTACCCTCTCGGAACAATGGAGGTAAGACGGAAAACCAAGAAAAAGAAAAAAAAACAGGAAAAAGCAAACCGCCAGCTATATTCCGAGGGAAGCATTCAAATTCTCCCTAAAGGAGCGCAACCCTGGATCTATCCCGAGACGAATTTTCCCAGACTCACAATCCTCCACGCGTGCTCCTCTCCTTTCAGGTAATTCCTTTTAAAAGCAAACCTGCAATTTGCTGTTCTGGAAATTCGTCCCTTCCTGCTATCTTTCAGCAGCAAAGGAGAGCAAATGGCCGATATCTTGTTCCAGTGTGAGGGCTCGACTCCGAAGAGGTTCAGCACCAGTGGCCACGGACAGCATCCAACGGAAGCGCAAGGCGGAACAAGGTGGGGTGCAGAGGCGCCCACAGGAGCGTTTCCCTCACCTTCGGTTCTTTAAGCCCTCCTGTCTTTCTCTTCCTCCGTCTGTTTCAGAGTCCAGTGGACCGAGCAACGGATATGCTAGTAGCTGAGCTCAGCAAAATCTCCCACATTCAAACAGCACAATTCTGCCCCCTTGCTCAGCTTCAGATATCTTGTAGCCACTTCCTGGAGGGCAGAGCTGACGCTTCTAGGGGTGAGTGAACGAACTGGGCAAGGCAGTTTCTACAGAGGTTTGATCCTTTTCATTCAGTGTGCTGAATGGGGTAGAAGGGCAAATCGCCATTTGAATAACTAGTATTGGATACAAAGATTGGGTCGAAGATGTATTAGGGTCTAGTTTGGATCTCTGAGTAATCATCAGTAGATGCACAAAGTTTTCTACTATTTATTTAACAATAGCGATGTATAAATAGCTGTAACAAAAATAAGTTGGCTGAAGAAGTTAAAATGAAAGAAAATGGGAGTGGATTTTGATTTGAAAGGCCTTGTAAATATAAGTGGCTGTCAGGCTCACAAAATCAAGAAAGACAAGATTTCTTTATTGTTCCACACCTATAGACAGAATCTTGCCAAATTGAAACAGACTACATGAAGCATGTACCTTGGGAACTATTACGGAGGGATGGCTTCACTTTTTTCTTTCCCACAAACTATCTGAATTGAGTTGCCTTTTACTCCTCTGGATTGCACGCCTTCCCTCCTGGAAATCCAGATTACTACATTCGATCATAATGCCTTTCAAAATTATGTAAGCAGCATTGCACCATCATAAGATAAGCCCCATCCTTTTCATATGTGCATGTGATGTTACAATGAACATACAAGGAAAGGATGGAGCTCTCATACTATTAATACTACATAACGTTAGTGAATCTCCCTCCCTCCCTAGTGAACTGAAAGTGGTAAAAAAAGTTTTTTGGTTTGACTACTTGTCTCTTTGTAGACAACCTGTATATTACCAAATCCTATAGGATTCCCAAGATTAGCAACATTTTATACATATAAAACCTACATGGCATATACAAATAAAACATCCACAGTAAATTAACACTAAAATATTCACAGTCAGGAGGGTCTAAATCGGGGAGGGGTCAAAAAAGTCATAATGATAGACCCAAAATAGTTGCTTGGACCCTTTAGTTGTAGCTGTTATTTTCAGCCTTTGAGTTAGTACCACAGAATGTAGAGTTCCTTGAAGCAAAACCTATTTACATCTCTTGCAAAAAAAGTGTTAGCCCAGCAACAATAACATGACTAGCTAATGCTGGTCTTTCAAGCCAGGAAGACCATGACGCATGCTAGGAGCAGTCAAGAGTTTTCTCTCTAACCCAAGAAGCTCCTACAAGTGCAGCCAACTTGTATTAAGTGGATTATCTGGATATTTCAAGGAACAGCAGTGTTTCAACACCAATGCTTCAATCTTAGCTTTAACATTGCTTCATCTTGCCTTCTTGCAAACAGCTCAGCAGTTCCTCAGTGGAACAGAGAGTGTAATCAGGAAGAAACCATAGCCTATTGTTGAAAAAAAAGCAACAATCCCCAGCTACTTATCTTTTTTGTTGCAAGGAAAGCAATTTAATCTTTCAGGGAATTGACTTACTACTTGAAGTGCGTTTACTGTGCTTGCTGAGGCAATTGGCTATGATGACACTACCACTTTTACAATTTTGCTGCAGGGATTTTTCTATCCCTGTACTCTAAGAACTCCAAGTAGCACAATATTTTCCCCCCAAAATTTCTCCTCATTCACTTGTCATATTGGGAACATCTCTCTCAGACTCATCATGAAGTGTTTTCTTTTGTCTGTTTTAAAGTTCTGTCCCACCAACTTCAGTGGATGATCCCTGGTCTTAATATTTTGAGAGAGGAAGACAAACATCTTCCTGTCTGCTTCCTTACTCCCTTTCTTGCAATCAGCATCTTGATAATGAAAATTAGATATTACATACAAATCTTCTCAGTTCTCAAAGACTTGAGCATTGGCTTATTGTAGTTGATTTTGAAGTGGATCCACCTTGGCTTATAGAATTTTTCTTATTCAAACCCAGGCATACCTGCTATACATACTACTGAGTTCATAGCATTTATTGTAAGAACTATTGTCACCCCTGGTCTACAGCAGAACTTCTGAAAATCAGAATATCGATTCTCACAGAAACCGAGCATGTCTTTGGAGTCATTTTTAGAACCACAAACTCCAATTTTCTGTTTTCTCCCAACTCAATCATGATTCTTAGGGAAATGGGAGAAAAGAGAACTAAATAAGCAGAATGGATCTTGAGCTTCTTTTCTTAGAAGGATCCTTGTTTATCCCCTTAACCTACTAGATGTTTCTCCTTTTTAAAATAATCCTCCTGACTATTTACTGCATACTTTTTATTTACCAGGGTCAAAAGTGAAAGAATATTAAATAAGGAATTTGCCATATCAGACATGCTGATAGTTACTGCTGGATAAACAACAAAATATGGTCTTTGCTAAATGAAATGTCTTTGAATCTAGCAAGTTATTCTATGTATGTAAACTGATTTTATATTCAACATTACTAGAACTTTGGAAGCTAACATTCATGTAAAAATCAGTATAGGTCAGTTATGTGATTACCTCTGAAGCCTCATGGCTATTCATTTCTGAGTCTAAATATTATAACTATTTTAACATATTAACTTATAAATGGAGAAATTAATTGTATAAAATAATAAAGTTTCTCACTGAACCTAACTATGTGTGAGAAAAAGTTAAACTGTAACCACAATGAATAAAGCTGCATTGAAGTTTTATTAACGTCTTTTTAAAATATATTTTGTATCTATGTTATTTTAGTATAATTATTCAGCTCTCTCTTACACCATACATGCACACAGAACATTCCATTATTTTTAGTTAGAGCAGAAAAATCCTCTAGAACCCCAGCTTTTCCAATCTAGAGCTGCTTATTCCATATGAAGTTTTCTTCTATAGCAGCGGTTCTCAGCCTGTGGGTCGCAACCCCATTTGGGGTCGAACAACCATTTCATGGGGGTCGCCAAACAACGAAGTCCGGCATTTTTCCCCCCTTTTTCATGAGCTGTGCTACTCCCTCTTATTCTATTGGCTTTTGAAAGCCAATAGAATAGACTCTATTCAAGAGACTCTATTCTATTGGCGTTTGAAAGCCAATAGAATAGACTCTCTTGAATAGAGTATAATTCTATTGGCTTTCAAAAGCCAATAGGAATTGTTCAGGTTGTCACTGCCCTGCTGAGCCCACCAAAAGTCCCAGTCTGCAAATGGTGCTGCAAGTTGTCTGCAGCTAAGGTGACCTTTCTGGACGTTTCCACCCCTCCCTGCTGAGTAACTACTAAATGTATGTAAAAGAGGGCCAGGGGTGGGAGGTGGGAGGCCAGTAGGCGCATGGAGGGTTGCTGGCGTGCATGGGGCCCAGCGGGTGGCTTACCTCCCTTGGGCTGAGCCAGCTGGTGGCCCAGACGGTGGTCAGCCTGTGCCATTGTTGCCGCTTGCCAGCTACACCTCGGCTGGTGCAGGGGGTGGCACCACGCATGCGCAGCACTCCTGGGCTGAGGCGGTTGCTGGGCGACGGCCTGCATGCACCCTCGGCCTGCCCAGCATGTGCTCCAGCTGCAGGAGAGGAGGCAGAGCGTGCGCGCCTCCTCCTGCCCCGCCCGCAGGGAAATACAGGTAGTCCTCGACTTACAACCACATGGTTGGGGGTCGCAGCATTAGGAAGGTTGAAAACCACTGTTCTATAGTAACAGTATCATCTACTACTCCCAAATAGTGATTTTTATTACGGTGTTATCATTTTGATGGCATAAGCAGGCAGTTTGAGGCCTGAGAGCGGCCTTATATTCCCCAACTCCTTTTTCAACACCCCATTCTGACCAGCTGTAGCTTTTGGGTAGTCTTCAGGGACAGCATCTTGTAGATCCGATTGCAGTAGTCCATTTGTGAAGTGATTAAGGCACAGGGGGCAATCTGAAAGGCCTCCAGGTGTAAAAGTCTCAATAAAGTCTATGCCTCTGAAGATCCAATCAGCTGTATAGAGGGGAAAGCCTGGAACTTGGACTTAAGGATTGTTCTTAAATAGCAGTCCTGACATCCATGGGAGTGGGTCTCTCCCTGAGATCTCCACTATTCCTACCTACCCACAAATGGATTGGATTGGATGTGGTGTAAAGGTGATGAAAAGTGTGTGTGGGGGGGGTAGGCTGCCTTACTGTGACCCTTACTCGTCTCCTTCACGTATGTTGTATGCCCTGCTGCCACTAAAAGTTTGCTTCCTCTGTAAAACAGAGGGGCAGAGGAAGGAAGGGAGGGAGGGAGGGAGGGAGGGAGGGAGGGAGGGAGGGAGGAATTTCCACAATAAATATTTGTGATTCTATGGACACTTTCCCAGAGGCAAGCCACACTGAACTCGAAGAGGGAGACTTCTGAGCAAACATGCATAAGAAAGCAATTCTGGTATGTTTTTCAAGGGACAGAAAAGAGAGTAAGTTCCAAAAGTGAAGTAAATGTGTAAAAAGTGTGATGATTACTTGGCAAGAGAGAACGAAAAAAAAGAATTCCAGAAGGCAAGAGTCCTGTGAGGCAGAATGAGGCAGGGATATGTGCTTCAATACAACTCATCACACATTAAGGTGTAAAACGTGATAAATAATTAATTATTAACAAGCCTTGCTACATAGGATTTCTGAGTACATCTTGAGGTAATTATCTTTCCTCTTCCTCTATAAGTTTGCTTTTGTTCAGTTAACAGATTTTATTGAAAATCATATTTTATAATTGATTATCATAAAACATGGGTCCTTGATGCAATGGCTGAAAACAGGATAGGAAAAATATACAGTTTGCAATGGCAGGAGTTAATTATCCC